GAATACACCCACCAACACACACTCAAGGAGTATGGCAAAGAAAAACACTAAACACAACAACAAGACAAAGAGGAATAGCAGAAGAGAGGAAGTAGGATAAAAAAAGAGATGGATTCACTATAAAGAAAGTGAGTGAGGGGAAGAAAAGAGGTACGGTGGATGAGATTGCCAAGCATTTTATTCCTTCTTGAAAAGAGGCCACATGGGAAGAGAGAAGAAGGTACAAGGATAAGATGGAGGGAAATACAATTAAGAATCATAACCATGAAAGTGAATTAACATCCATAAAATGGAAGAGGATAGAAGAATAGATTATAAAGCAGAATCCAACAATCTGTTCTTTACAAGAAATGCATTTGAAACACCAAGATTCATACATGAGTAAATAAGGGGCTAGATAACAATTTATTATGTTTCATTTGAACTTTAAAAAGCAAGGGTAGAAATTATGTTCTCAGACAAGGCAATAGTAAAAATAGACATGATTAAAAGAAATAAACAAGGAAATTGCATTATTCTTAAAGGCACCATAGACAATGAATATCAGTCTTTAATATATAGGCACTGACTGACATAGCATCTAAATAACTTAAAGGGAAAGTTAATCAGTTTACAGAAAAAGAATAAAAATAATAGTAAACTATAATAGTTGTAAAGAAAAACTATAATAGTTGGAGACCTGAATGTATTGCTTTCATTTACACAAATTTAACAAAAAGATAAGGAAATTTAGGACCCAAACAGAATTTTACAAAAAGTAGCTATAACAGATCTTTGGTGAATACTAGGTCAGAATTGAAAAGAATAAACACATTTCTTAGAACCTTTACAAATACTGATCATGTATTAGGGCACAAACATCTTACAAACAAATGTAGAAAAGCAGAAATATTAAACACATCCTTTATTGGCCAAAATGCAATAAAAATAATATTTACTAAAGGGTCTCTGAAGAAAGGATTAAAAATTAAATATTAAATAATTCAATCCTAAAGAATCAGTGAATCAAAGAACAAATCATAGAAACAACAGATAATTTCATCAAGCAAAATGACAATGAGAAAACATAATAAAACTTTTGTGATGAAGGCAAAGCAGTCTCTAGAGAAAAATGTATATTGTTAAAGACCTTCATTAACAAAAGAGAGAAGAAAAAGATCAATGAATTAGGAATACAACAACAACCTGGAAAAGTAGCACATCAAAAACCCCCAACTAAACACAAAAATAAAAATTTTGAGAATAAAAGGAATAAATAAAAATGAAAACAAAAAATCACTATTAAATACATAAATAAAATCAGGAGCTATTTTTTAAACTACAAAAATAGATAACAATTAGCTAACTTGATTTAAAAAAAATTCACTACAAATTAGTAAGAAATAAAGGAAATTATTCTGTTAAATTACATGCCAAAAGTGGATGAGATGAAATGAGTATTTATTAAGAAAATACCCACATTAACAGAACAAGAAATAAATAATCCAATCATAAAAATATAAATGAACTCACAAAGAAAAAAGCCCCATGATCAAATGGTTTTACAAATTAATTCAAACATTCAAAGAACAATAATTTCAATATTACATTCACTGTTTTAAAAAATAGAATCCTATCAACTCCTTCTATGATACAAATATGATCTTGCTTTACCTAACCCAAGGATAGAGAAAGAGAATTAGGGGCCAATATCCCTCATGATATCCTAGATACATATGGAACAAAGTCAAATGAAACAAGGTATATAAAACACTTACAAAACCTAAAACACTATATAAATATCTATTATTATATATAAAAACAAGAGCCATTCCTCATAGATGGTCAAAGGATATGAGTAGGCAGTTTTCAAAGGAAGAAATTAACATTCTCAATAACCATATGAAAATGCTTTAAATCATTACTATTTGAGAAATGCAAATTAAAACTACCACAAAGTTCCACCTCACACCTGTCAGACTGGCAAAGATGACCAAAAAAAAAAAAAGACAAATGCTGAAGTGGTTGTAGGAAGACAGGTACACTAGTGCATCATTAGTGGAGCTGTGAACTGTGTCAGCCTTTCTGGAAAGCAATTTGGAACTATACTGAAAACGGTTAAATTCTCTAGGTCAAGATATCCCAGAGATCAAAGAATGACGGAAAAGCCATCTATATACAAAAATATTTATAGGAGCTTAATTTGTTTTAGCAAAGAAATGGAAATAGAGAGGGTGCACATCAGTCTTGAGGATGGCTGAACAAACTATATTATGTGACTTAGGGGAATATTATCGTATTTTTAAAAATGGATTAAGAGAAAGAAGGAAGATTTGTATAACTGACAGAGTGAACTGAGAACCAGGAGAACCACTTATACAATTACAGTTAACACTATAAAGAAAACAACTTTGAAGATTGACGAATTTGGTCAATAACTAACCACGACTTGAGCGAATGGATGTTGGTGTGCTACTCATCTCCTGACAAATGAAACAGTTGCAAAAAGCACTTAACACAGTGGCTGGCACACAGTAGGTGCTACATAAATGTTGATTATTCCCTCCCCCAGCCCCTACTAGTAAAAAGATCTCAAGGTGCAGAATGAGATACATTTTTGGACATGGTCAATGTGTGAACTGGACTATATATGTTGTTCCCCTTCGTTTCTCCCTTCTTCCTGACAGAGTTGGAGGAAGACAGAGGAGCTAACAATAGCACTGTTAAAAAAGAAAGGTTATTGAGACATTTTTTAAAATGCACAGAAATAAACAGAACACAGTTCAGAAGGAAACACAGATTAAGTTTTCAAAATAGCATACTGAATTTATTATATACTTTAAAAGGAAAAAGTATACTTAATATTTGCAATTTCATGTACAATCTTCATTTTCTGCTCTTTCCATGTAGACATGCTCATTTTATTTGATGTTTAAGTTTGTAATAGCAAAAAGATCAAATAAAAATAAGAGGGTAGGAGTAGAGAGGATAGTGATCCAGGTCCTAAAACACCTTGATAAAGGAGGAAGAATACTCCTACGGTAGATAACTGCCATTAGCAACTGGACAAGGTACTCAGATGAAGTGAACCCGAAATGTCAGGTTGCTGAAAGAAGTGGTAGAGGGACACCTCAGCTGAAATCAGTAGCGAGAAGGTACTTTTCTATTCGTTTCCTGGGCCCACTGTGTCAGTCCTCTGAGAACGCCCAGGTTTCAACTATTCCAAGACAGAAGTGTGAGAGGAAGAGCTCTAATAGGAAAGGTAGCTTGTTAATAATGGTTTCATAGTGCACAATTGAAGGGAGAGAGCAACAGGAGTGGGTAAGGGACATAGGATGAGCAGGGACTAATACAAATGGGGTAGGAGGGAGTGGGGAGATATCAGGAAGGCAAACTTCTGCATAGGCCATCTTAAGACTGAATCACAGAAATGCTGATTGGAGCCACAGTAGAGATTGTTATATTCCTTTCCAGTAGCAATGGTAGCTGACTTCTTTGCCTTAGAGCAAAGTTGATTTTTCAGGTGGTATTTGAGAACAAAAGGTGAAGGATAAAGTGGACAGGCAGCATGATAATCAGCAAGATGCCTGTCCTGAACATGGTCCTGTTCTTGTTCCTGGAGTAAGGGATGGATGGGAAAGGGAAGTCCCATGAATGGGCTCTCCATGGTTATAGAAGAGTGAAGCTTGATTGACTTTCTCATCCTCCAATCATCTCTCCTTCAGATGCAGAGGCAGCTAGGTGGCACAGTGTATAAGGCGCTGGGCTGAAAGTCAGAAAAATGCAAGTTCAAATCTCAGCCTCAGACACTTGCTAGCTATGTAATCTTGGGCAAATCATGTAACCTATCTGCCTCCGTCTCCTCAACTATAAAATGGGGACAATAGCACCAACCTTCCAAGGTTGCTTTAAGGATCAAGTGACGTAATGTTTTATAAAGAGCCTGGCACACAGAAGGTGCTAAGAAAATTCTTATTCCCTTACCATGTACTTACAAATAATATGCTAACATTTATTTAGCACTTTAAAGTTTTCAAAGTACTTTACAAATATTTCATGTGATCCTCATAACAACCCTGAGAGGCAGATGCTATTATCCCCATTTTACAGATGAGGAAATTGAATCAGACATAGGTTGTGACTTGCTCAGGTTCATAACTAGACCAGATTTGAACTCAAGTCTTCCTGACTCCAGGTCCAGCATTTTCTCCACTGAGCCAATATGAGAAGCAAAGCCGTGTAACATGAACCAGTCCTGGAATCCCTTCCCAGCTCTTCTTGCAAAGACTAACTCCAGGGCTCACTCTTCCATTTTGCCTTTTGCTTGCCTTGCCCTTCTCCCTCAAGGGAAAGTGATCTTTCCTTCTTCAAAAACTTCAAACCACTTTACCTGGATGGACATTCTCCTTTCTACTTCTTACTTTGTTACGAGTTGTGTATATATCCTATACTTCTATTATATTTTAACGTCATTGAGAGTGGTCTGCCTCATATATTTCTTTGCATCCCTAGCACTTAACAGTAGTACAAAGTGTGAATTCCTATTTTCAAGTAATAATAGCAACTAACATTTACATTGTGCTTTTAAGGTTTATAAAGCACTTTCCATATATCCATCTGGGGTAAAATTTTAGCTTGATCATTTAAATTTTAGGTCAACTTGACTTTACCCGTATCAAGTGCAACAGTTAGTTACTCAGTCAACAAGTATTAATTAAATGCTATGTGCCAGCTACATGCTGTGCTGAGCACTAGAGACACAAAGAAAGGAAAAAACAGTCCTTCCTTCAAAGATCTAACATTCTGACAAGGAAACATGTTAACAACTAAGTAATACAATTTTCAGTGAATACATTACATGCTAAATGATTAGTATCTAACCGCAGTAGTTGAATGATTTAAAATCTCATCTGTCCCTTTACACCTTGTCAGTCAGTGAGTGGGAATCAGTAATCGTATTTTTATTTTGCTTCTTTATGGAAGATGGCAACACTTAAGGAGAATAGAACATACTGTATTACTGAGTTTCACAAATTTATTGGTATTTTAGTAAAGACATTCATCTCAGTCATTGCCCTCTCCTGTCTTGACCTTAGGCTATCATTTCATTTGGGTCAAGAAAACATTCAGAAGAGGAAGAATTCTTACTTTAAACATAACAATAAAATGGACAAAAATGGAAAGTCTGCCTACATTAGAGTGTCTAAAGATAATTTATAAATTTTGATATGGTTAAGTCAAATAAGGAAGAACTAATAGTTCTATGTACATTTTCATTGTTGTATGTGGGGCTTACTCTAAATATAAATGTAACTGGACAAAAGTATTAGGAATATATAGTCAAAGGCAGCTCCTCTGGAACGATTACCTATTCTAAGAGCTTAACTGGCAGTTACCACCAATAAAGAATAGTCTAAAGCTGCCTTCAGATTCAACATTGAAGGAATTTTCAAGAAAACATCATACATTTGTTTATGACAAAGCTTTTAAAGATATGATAACAGGTGTTCCAACGGCATTATATTTCAAAGAAATTTAAGATTACATATACAATACAAAAATACAAAAGAAACCTCTCAGAACTTACAGACTCAAAGTATAAGTGGTCAAATCTTTCATAAAATAATTTTAAAGATGCACTCTCTTATATTTTCAGTACCTGAAATGGGCCAGTGGTCTATGAAGAAATAGGTATACAAATGAGCTATATACTAGCCTAGTAATGAGAAAATTAACGTTGCTTAAATTCAAATTAGCTTTCACTAAAATGGTAATTTTAATGTTCTGACAAATACAGAAAGTGCATCTTCACCATCTTTATACAATGTTAATGAATTTTTGGTGTGTCACTTCTTTTAAAATTAAAAAAGCCAAATGCATTTAAGCAATGTACATATTTTAATCACATTTTTGGTGGTGGCTTACTTTTTAAAAGAAACAGCTTCCTTATATTACCTCAAGTTCTGGTAGAAATGCTTACAGGAGCTTGTTAATACCAATAACTCAGAGAAATGCATTTAAAATACTGATTTACTTGCACAGTGAATGCTTGTCCTTTAAAAACCAATGAAGTTAAGGACAAGCCCTGTTAAGGTGAATTAGGCCACAGTATATATTAAACACTTTACATAAAATTTCAAAAAAAGTAATTATGGGTTTTTCTTGTTATAGCTTCTGTAGCTGCTGTTAGCAATGCCTAGTTTACAACTTTAAAAAAATGTCCATTGGGGAAATATTTGTCATATTTGTATTTTGTCTAAATTATTTTCAAATCAATGTTCCAGTAACACTTCCCTCCCAGTACAACACTCCTTCTCTATAAGGCTGTTCTTGGGAGCCAGATAGTTTAGGTAAACATGGAGTTAAGTAGTTGTTTTCAATTTGAACAGTTAAAGAGACAGTAAACTTTTGCTTCCTCCTTAATGTGCTAATAGTTGTGACTAAAAAAATAAGCAATTCTTAAAAAGGTACCATTTCTGACTTCTTTATTATCTGTAACCTTTTGAAACTAATCACATGAAACTACAAAATTAGCAAATGTCTTGAAATCTGTATATAAAACATAAATTACCTCTAATTTCAAACTTTCATTTATTAGTACACCACTCAATTTTTTAAAAGTGGCTCCAAAGATAGTCTTATATCATTCTTTTTTTTTTCTCCTTTTAAAAAAAAAAAAGGAAACTGTTCCTTTTAACATCACACCCACCCTATACCCAAATCTGGAAACACATCATTTAGTCATCATCTTGGTCATGGACATTTCCAAGGTGAGATTTTATATTTCGTTCCCACAGCTTCTGGTTATCAGAAAATCCATGCTTTCCTTTATTGAAGGAATTTGGTCCAGCTGATGTTGGTGTATCCCTGTTTTTAAGAATGGAAAAGAAAGTTTTTAAACAGTTTAAAGACCTTCAGATAGCACTGTAATAGAGCAAAGTATGAAAATTTCATCCTTCAATTCCCCCTCCATCTCCCCTCCACAACTGGAAGTTGCATAAAGATTTCTAAAACAAACAACAACAAAAGTTGTCAGTCATCAGGAAGACCTGAGTTCAAATCTGGTCTAAAACACATACTAGTTGTAAACCTCAATACCTGAATGTATACACATGTGTATAAATATGTATATGCAATGTGTACGTACACACACACACACACACACACACACACACAGAGGTCTAGATAATTTTTATATTCTATGAAAGCTATGAGTCAGGGAGGGGAGATAAAAGAATAGTCTAATAAGCTTGTGATGAGTGATAACTATATAGAGATTTCAGGTATCTTCTTCATAAACAACCTTGTAAGGTAGATAGTATGTGTATTATTCCCATTTTACAGATGAGAAAAAAACTAAGAGGTTGAGTGATTAGTCCATGGTCAAACAATTAGTGTGAAAATCTTGGATTTGAGGCTGAGTCTCCAAATTCCAAGTCAATACTCTGCCCACTGAGTCTCCTCCCTCTCATAACCCTAACAACCTTATCTTCTCGTATTTTAGTGTTTCTAAATATGACACTTTTCATATATCACTCTGGTCTAAGTAAATCTTAAAAAAAAAAAAAGACATGCTGTCCCCATCTCCTCAAAGGGATCATCTCTGAAAGGAAAAATACCACAAAAGCATACAGTGAAACATTAACACTAATTATTATTTTCTGCTCTTATACTGTTAAGTCAAATATGGAAAATAAATGTGGCATATATTTAAACCAACATGGTACCAAAATTAATTTGAATTAATATTATCAATTTAAATTTTACTTATCAATTTGATTTCTTTTAGAAGTCCTACATGGTTCTTATTTGCACTACTCAATTTAAAATTAAATAACCTTCATTTTTCAGACTCTAGCTCCTTTGCCCTTTGTAGAATGGATATCTTCCTCTATTCTATGGGAATAAGTATCTTCAAAATTTGGTTTGCTTTCTGGGGTTACTTTAAAGTTGTGCAATCCTTACAAGGTGCTGAAGCATAATTTTGCAAAAACAGACAAGAGAGGATAGTGAAAACTAAATGTTAATAATCTAGTGACCAACAAACAAACAAAAAAATTAAAACCCCTGACAGATTTTGTGTCTATTTAATTAAAAAACATCTGGTGTCATTTGAAAGGAAAAAATGTTTTCAATTTTATGCACATAATTTTTTTCCTCAAAGAAACTTTTTTTGATCAGGAAAGGAAGAAAAGAACTTTTGACTACTCATATAAGATGGGATTTCCCTTTATTCTAAAATAAATTATTGAACCCTCTCAATTCCCTGAATGAAGTAAAACAGTAATAAAACTTTCCTATATGACTTTGTCCCAAGAGATATTAGGATCTAACAATATGCTTCGATGACTTCAGCTCTTTTAGAAGTTTATTTACCATTATTAGCTAATAGTTTAACATATGCAAAGAATTTAAATACCTTCCAATATTCTTCATCCGCATCTTTGCTTCTGGAGGCATTTCCTCTGGTTCACTCTGAGGAGAAAAATCACAGATAAGATGTTGGTGCAAAATTACAAATATTTCCTTTTGAAAAAGCTACGAATGACTGCTAATAAGTGCCAGTTTTTTTTTTAAGATGGAAATTTAAAAAGTCTATTTAGTAATCAATAGCTTTTTAAAGTCTTGAATTTATACAAAATTGTAAATGCTTCATATTCATAGTTTTTTCCCCCTTGTTACTGTGAATCACGGCATAACTATGACATGGAAGGAGAGAAAAAAAAACCTATGAAAATAATTTTAGCAGTAACTGACTGAACTTACCAAAAAAACAAGGATATTAGATAAGAAAAAAAATTATTTGTTTTCCTGTGTATTCATTTTACATGGGGCAAATAAAGATCTTAACCCCTAGGAGGCAATCTTTACTGCTAAAACACCCAGAATGACTACTTTCCACCTATTTTTCAGACATATAACCCCAACTTACCCCACTCCATCCCATCTCCACACTGGCCTTTCCTTTAGCCTGGCCTCTCAGCTGCAACCCTCTATAGAAACCACAGTAAGGTAGAATCTGGTGCTTTGGCCAGAATTGCAAAACTACTCCCTTTTCCCCCCAAGATCCAACAAAAGGAAAATCTCATTACCAAAGTTCTTCGAAGTGTCAAATGGTTCAAGATCAGAAATTGATGTTTTATCAATCAAAATGATACTAAGAATGTGTTTATACATCAGTCTCTATCTCCCTTCTACTCACATCAAAAACACTTAAATCTGTTTTCATTCGCCCACTCAAGAAGACCCAGAAATTAAAGGGCTTGAAAATCCCTTAGATGCTTACTAGCTGTGTATCCCTAGACGGATTACTTGGCCTCTGAGCATCAGTTACTTTTATCTTTAAAATGTGGAAAATAACAGCACCTACCAGTTGTGAAAATAAAATGAGATAACATATATAGAAAGTGCTGGGCAAATCTTAAAACACTATATAGATGTAAGCTAGTATTACATAATGAAATCAGACCTTAGTTACAAATAAAAATGCTGCTTTTTCAGGAGCTACTTTATCTTCATTTGAAATTAACTTCATGGACAGCAGAAAACAAGACCCTAAGATCTTGTCCCCAAACTCTTAAGAATCTTGAAATTTGGGTCATGAAGATGATGGGCTTCATTTCAACCAACTTCTGTGTGGCCCATGAATTCCCCCTGCAATCTTGATAAGCAGTCATGCAATCTTTGCTTAAACACCTTCATCAGTCACCCATCCTTTGCCTGATCACCTCCAAGCTTGAGGGAGACAGAAGTCCAGTCTTCAAATATCAAAAGACCACCGACCCATCTCCTTTCTCCCACAATTCTTACAGATGCTACCAGAAAGGTTCAGAATTTTGGGGATACCTACTCATACCATTAATACAAAAAGGCCTCTGCCTTTACACAGATGCTTATCCGACACTTGAAATGTTTTTCCTCCTCTTTCAGCTTCTTGAATACCTTGGATCCTTTCTTTTTCTTTCTTTCCATTTTTTTTTTTGGCTAGGCAATGGGGTTAAGTGACTTGCCCAGGGAAACACAGCTAGTAAGTGTTATGCGTCTGAGACCAGCTTTGAACTCAGGTCCTCCTGAATCCAGGGCCAGTGCTCTATCCACTGCGTCACGTAGCTGCCCCTATCTCAGATCCTTTAAAGGCTCAACTTAAGTGCCACCTCCTTCAAAAGGGCTTTCCTGATTCTCCCAATTGTTAGTATCTCACTGCTACTATCAGTGTGTAGTGATTTAAAAAAAAAAAACAAAACCAAAATGTATTTATCTATGAACATGGTATTCTTTTCCCATCCTCTCTCCCCTGCCCCTTCCCTCCACAGAATGTAAGCTCAAGGACAAGGGACGGTTTTATTTTTCTAAACGCATCCCTAGTGCCTGGTACATAACAGGCATTACAGACAGACTGAATATAGCCTTGCTATTTTCTACCCCATCAACCAATTTTTTTTTTTGTGAAGTCAGAGTTTTAGTCTCCTTGAAGACACTCAAAAATTCTTTAATATGAGTAGTATACTTAAAGAATTTAACAGTAAGAAACAGAATTAGCCATTGACTTACATCATCATCTTCATTGAAAACTGCTGCTACTGAAAGGGTTTTAGGGGCAAGAGTTGGAACAGTCTCTTTAGGCTTCTAAAAGAGAAACACACATCAAAACAGATGAACACTACATAAGCAAATTATGTATATTATATGCATGCAACTCAAAAGAGGAAAAAGTGACTTTTTATATTTAAAAAAAGCAGTATTTTGTTTTCAAAATATCTTAAGCAGTAAGTCAGTACTTTGGAAAATCTCATCTTTTAGGTCCCCCTATGCTCTTTGAGAATATAGTACTACTATTAGGTGCTATGGACCTGATTGGTAATAGTTTTTAAGTCAACTTGGATATTTATATGCTAATCCCTATAACACCTTTTACTCATCAAAATCTTGTATGTTTGATCTTGTAGAGGATGTTTTCCTAGGACAGCCCAATGCCATGTGTATACTAGCACTGAATATACATTTGCTGGCTATTGTTATGTAGCTTATAAGACATGAGTTTTTAAAGTAGTACCAACCAACAATGTGAATTATTTGGATTCTTGATTGCACAAATAATCAATCCCATACAATACAGTGAAATACATCACAGAGTCCCTAACTAACCACTTACTTGCTAGCATTAGTTTCAATATGTTTAAAATTTTAATACACAAAAATGTTAAACTAAGGGAGGAAAAAATGTTAAATTAAGGAGTAACAAAAGGTCTGAATTTTTTCATTTTCACATTTTAAAAATTATTTGAAATTTATATTTAAATTAAATAAAAATATTTTAAAATTAAACAAAACAAACAAAAAAAACCCCTACTGAAATCCTGCCATTAAAATTCACCTAACAAAAGACCATTTTTTGAGGGGTAATGATTATGCCTGTTAGTATAGAGTTTTTTCAAAAAGGACCACCTATCAAGATTACTGAAAAAAGCTGGAAAGAAACCCAGATAACATTTTAGATGAATCATTCTTGAATGATAATCTAGAATATATGGATCTGGCAGTAAAACTGTTTTTTTTGTTTTTGTTTTTTTCAAGTTAACTTCAGAAAATAGCTGCTGCCAGATACGACAGCTATAACTAAATAGCATCAACAGTGGAGCAATTTTAAATGATTTCTGTCTTACTTAAAAAGCTAGTACTAATGCCATGTCATCTAACGTTAAGTTAATACTTAATTCCTTACTGGCAAAATATTTCAATTGCTTGGTTTTACCAAGGTTCCAAGAGCTTAAAATTTTATATCTTAAAGTACATGTTTAAATTGGCTTTTAGAAGTCAACATCTCTTTTGCTAAAATTCCAAAGAAAGATGAAGAAGAACATGGCTTTATCATGTGCTACTTAAAGACAAGTGACAAATCTGGAGCCTTTACATAATTTAATGATTTTGGTATTAGTATTTTCTAGTATGCCCCAAATTTTGAAAGTAGATTTCATAAGTTCAAAGAAAATACAAGATATGAGAGTATAAACAAACAAAAAAACCCAACCATTCAAGAGCGACTGGAGATTGTCAAAATGAAATTATGACAAAACTGTGAAGGCTAAAGACTGCAGACTTGTAGCTACAAGAGACTTCAGAGATAATTTAGCCCAAACTTTTTATTCTACAAACAAGGAAACTGAAGCCCAAATAAAGCAAGTGACTTGCTCAAGATCAAGTAGTAGACCCAAAGATCCGAACCCAGAGAATGCTCCAAATTCAAGAACTCTTTCCATTTGCCCCCTCACCATTGGTTGGGGGAATGGATAGGGAAGACCCAAACCAAGGAGCCATATGAACAGAAAAGATAGAAGAGGAATTATTTGATGAGGGAATATACCAAAAGAAATATACCAAAAGTAATTTTAAGAATGCAAAAATGGTTTAGTCCTATAACTGTATCAGGAAGGCTAAAGTCTGGAATTAGCTGTGATAAATTAGCTTGTGATAAATGAAAGGAGTTTTGGTTTTTGTTTTTAATAGAAATGTTGAGGAAAACAACAAGGTCAGTCTAGGCCTTCCATTGGGGGTGAAAGAAATGATAACAGATGGCCTAGAGAAAACAGCATTCATTTCCTATTTTATGTCTTTTTTCACCAAGAAGAGTCATCTTCATAACAATGAGAAGGAAAAATAGTCATGAGGGAACTGAAATTCAAGTGAATGAGAGATAACAAGAACACCTGATTTCCTGAAATGAGTTCAAGGAAAGATCTTGAAGATGTGATTGCTATATTTTTGCTGAATGAAAGCATGCCCCAGGACTGTAAGTGGGAATGTTTTTCTCATTTCCAAAGGAAGGGGAATTCAGCAAAATACAAGGCTGGAAAAATTCTAGCGAGGAGTATTAAATGCTTGGTTTGTGAGCAAGTAGAAAGGAAACTGGTGGTCAATATAATGTAGCCTGGACTCATTAAAAACAAACCATGTCAGACCAACCATATCTCCTTTCTTGACAGGGTTACCAGACAAGGATATCAGTGGAAAGCTAAAAGACTATCTGGATTTCTCCAAGATATATGATAAACTTTCACAAAATTCCTGCAGACAATAAAGATACAGGCTAGATGAAAATACAATTAGATGAACGCAGAACTGATTGAAAATAGTTGACATGCTTACAGTATTTGTAAACAAAATGAAGCTGGGCAGGATATCTAAGATACATGATGAGACAACTGGTATCCAAAAAGGTACTGAATGGTAAGTTTAATAAGACAAAATTATCAAAAAAAAGTTTTCCCCATAGTTGAGGCCCAGGGATATTGGTGGGGAGAAAACCTCCCAGAGTTACTAGACTCAAAAATGCTCCATTTGACGAATAGCCCCAGAATTACTGAAGACTGAATTCAGTACTCCGACTTTTCCTGGCTTAGACAGAACATTTTTATTACTTGTGTACATAATGGGAGAATTAGACCACAAGCACAAAACCACATCTTACAGCCATGTTCTCCTATCAAGTCGAACATGGATGGCCAAATCAGTCTTACAAGTGGGTTAAGAAAAAAGATCAATTGGGAGTGGTAAAGAATTGACAGATGAATAGGAGGTAGTTCATTGCTGGAAGAGCTAAATACAGAGTTAAATGGATGAAGGGGCACCTAGGTGGTGCAGTGAAGGGGAGGGGAAGTAAGAAATGGATGAAGATCTGATTAATGGGACACAGTGATCAAATAATGAGGAAACACTCTGAGAACAAGTGACAGAAGTTGAAGATGCTTCACTGTCCTGCCTTCAGCATTCTTTCCCATGGGAACACATTACCCCATAGTTTCTTCATGTCTTCAATATCTATTCTAGCCATAGGTCTTTGCCATAGTGTCAGTCTCTTGAAAAATACAACAAAATAAGACAGACTTAGGGTCCTGATTCCACAGACCCAAAAGAATTAGATGAAGACACACTTTTCTCCTCTCTGAAGATATTTTCTAAAGCTCTGTTCAATCTAAAGTGACACCAATTAAGTTTTCATTTCCTGTGATTCTGTATCATAGTTGTTCTAGGTTTTTCACTAACCTTTCCTAAATAATATAAATCTAAACTTCCATACTCACATGCAGGTACACATAACCACATATAACCATAGGTTACACCTCAGACAAAATGTATATAAGGTCTTTATTTTAATGTTCATTTTTTATATAAGATTCTCAAACAATCTTCCCTCCCAGATTCTACTCATCCCCTGTGAACCCCAGTTCAAAATAATGACTTACACTCGCTCCAAGTTTGATGGATATGACTGGCGCTTTCTTTGCCGTCTGACTGCCTATGGCAAATCCAAACTTGGCTATCTTTGCAGGCACTGGCTTGGATGAGAAGTCTTCGGCTTCTTCTTCAGCTGATCGCTTCTCTGCGCTGCGACTCGAATTTTCCCCTCCATTACTGGAAGAAACAGTCTTAGTTTTCACAGGTTTTTCTGCCTCTTCTTCAGGTCCTGGTGAAGTCGAAACAACTTACCAAGATGAGCTAATTTTACTGAGCAGAGTGATGGGAGCAGCAACCTCATAAAGCATTGTTATAAGGAAGGTACTTCTGCAGAGGCACACCTACTGGCCCAACAGTCTCTTCCACTGTTTTGAGCACACAGAGGGAAAAGAGATTGTGTGGCAGTAGAAGAGGCTCCTTTGAATTAACTAGCATAAAATACAGGGCAATTTAAAATTACAAACATATTTTTCAAAAATGAATACGCTTTGAGTAAACATTCTATTACACAAAACCAAAAGTTCTATATGTATGTGTAGGGAGAAAGAAGGGTAAAGGGTAGTCTACTTAAAACAAACAAACAAACAAACAAAAAACCTCCAAAATACCCCAATGGTAAAAACTCCTCTGCATGATCATCTACTTTGTTAGCAATTAACTGCTTATGTTTAGGGACAATCTTGAAGATAAAGAGAATAAATTTGGCTGTCAATTTCTGGTAATGTGTAAATTCCACAATTATATAAATATCTACCTAGAAAGGGTTATTCAGCATTGGTTTATAACTGAAGTTACTGAGAAATATGTATTATATTTAATCACTTTAGTAATAAAATTTGCCCTAGAATTTTGGTTATACCAGGTTTTATTTCATCATTTGAAATTACACAGAAAGCAATTAAACAGAGAATCATTCATGTGCATGAATACAGATGTTTCCCATTCCTATAGTGAAGTCATATTAACTTCTCAATTATCTATTTTAATGAAAGGAGCAGATCATGGATGAGATAAAATAGCTAATAATCTACAAGCAATTCACACTTAGTTTTGGAATATACCAAATTTATTTCAGTAATTTTGCCTTCCTAAATATTTAGTGTTAAATTTAAGACCGAAAAAATCCAAGCATCAAATTTAAAAACAAGTTGATATTCCTTTAGCATACAACAGATGAGCAGCAGAGGGAGGTGTTCAGGAACATACTGGGTGTCAGGGAATGAGGAAACTAGTCAAAATTAAAAGAACTTATTTTCTTTCAGCCACTATGTTCTAAATAACAAGCATACACACTGCTGCTATGGATGTGTGGGTTAATGTATGGAAGAAAGAAAACAAGCTTTAGGATCAGGCATAGGTAATAGGAAAAACTGGAACAAAAAAAAGAAAACAAGAAAAAAGAAAAAAAAAGGACACAAATGATACTTCAGGGTCTAAGTACTGAAACAGGGGTGGGGTTTTTTTTTGTTCTTTGGATTAATAAATACTTGTACAGAATGTTCAAGCTTGTTTGGGAAAAAATGGAAAGAACACCTTCAAGTTACTGCTGTAGATTCCTTCTGGTCATAGGAAGCAACGAGAACAATATTATAATGCTATCCAGAGTGGGATTGACTAGGATTTAGTTGTGGGTTGGGAAGTTAAGGAACTGGGTGGAAGAGAGTATTATATCATACCTGCAGTAGATGGCAGAAGGTGCTAATCACTCATTAAAATAATCAACTGAGGAGTGAAAGGTTGCCCAAAATACAGTGTTTAAAAAAAAATGAAGTCTACATTAGCACCCCAATTTAGAATTTTCAGAAAAAAAGGAAATGCAAAAAGAATTTATGAAAATGTGATCACTTAGAAATACTAAATATAGGACTCTCAAGTATGTTTGATCAATTCTATTATAGATAGTGGCCCCCACAAGTTTTATCTTACAACTAAATGAACTATCTGACTTAAGCTCATCCTATGAGGAAAAAAGATTTGGTAGTAAATTAAAACAGGAGAAACTATTATATATTATGTATTAGGATATATTTTGTATGCTATATTATACAGGTGAATTACACAGGAACATGGCCATCTAACTCAAGTGATACTTACTTCAGTTTATATAATGAGGTGGAAAACAATAGAACAAAGAGCATAAAAACATGTTGGCTGTGATTTAAGACAAGATAAAGATTCTATCTGGGATCCACTAATTTGTCTTCTAAACATTTTGATAATTCTATTTCAATGTTTGGTTTCCTTTGTAATTCTATGCATTTTATGCATTTAAAATCATAATTCTGAGGTGTCTTTGATAGACTTCACCAGATTGCAAGAGGGGTCCAAGACAAAAAAGGTTGAAGAACCCCTTATCTAAAGTATGAAGACAGTAATATCTATTGATTTTCTCCTTATATTCCCTTACTTCTATTTCTGTTCCCAATCCCCATCTTACTGGAATTAAATTCTGGGGCACAGGGCATTTGAAGAAATTATAGTAGAAACGAGTCAGGAGAAAAAAAGTGAGGGTATAGCAACATTTCCAGGATATCTGGGATTTGTTTGGTGTGGGAACTCCATTCATCGTCCAAGCAAATTACCAACTATAACTTAACAAATCTTAGATAACCTGATGCTCAGAAAAGTTAAGTGATGTGTCTGAGGTAATAAATAAGCTAGTGTTACAAGGTATATCTACAAAGTATAACTCATAAGCAGATGTCAAAGGCAGGATTTGAATCCAGGTCTTCCTATTTCCAAACCAAAGCCCACTATCCACCAAACCAGGCACTGAGGACAGCAATGACAAAATTATATATGAAAAAGTGGGACAATCCCCGATGCCTGACATTTGATATACTGAGTTCTATTTATGGACGTAGTTACTATTTTGATAAAACCTTGTTAGACTAGTCTTCTATATAATACAACCCAAATGGGAGTCAGAGAGTTCCTCTCAAAAAGCAAATTATGTACAATTCCATTTTATCCTCATTGCATTTCCACCAACTAAAAAAAGCAATCTAAACACCATCTATTTCTCAAGTCTACTCTGAGAATGATGTCTAATATACCAATTCTACTTAAGAGCAATAATTTGCTCTTGGACTTCTAAAAGTTAGTCTTATGCTGATAACTTCACTACCAGGAAGTACTTTTTACTTCCAAGTATGGAAACTTCTAAGCCACTGAACTGGATCCATAATTATGGAAAGAGAAGGAAGAAAATAGAGGGGGAATTAATTGATGAAGATCATATGGTGAAACCTTCTCCATAGAGGATGAGACTGACTAATGAGTACAAGCTAATTTCATCCTTTCAAATCCCTTGAATGATTTTCCCTGATTGATGACCTTGCTTGGAATAGGCTTCCAAAAATACATTTAATAAGATATGGAAAACAAAACAAACAAGAAATTGAGGCCAGATAGTTTGGCAGCCAAACCTACTTATTGTTATTAGATAAATTTCTACTGTTTTGCATTATACAGTTCCTATGAGAAAACTGATTTCCCAACTAACTCAAACTTGAACTAGCTTAATGATCTAATTATTCAAAGTTATTGACAAATATTTAAAATAGTACCCTTCAAGTCTATACTACATAATCCAAAGCAAGTAACCTAAATAGATTCAGAGATTCAAAGCTGGAAGGGACCTTAGATGTCATTCAGTCCAACCTCTTCATTTTACTGATGAGGAATCCAAGGCCTAGAAAGGTTAAGTGACCTGCCAGAAATCGACCTGTAAAGTGACAGCGCCAGAATTTAAAGCCAGGGTCTCAACTCCAAATCCCACATTTTCCCCCCATTATATTATGCTGCCTCCTCAGTGTTCTGGGTCTTTTACAAAGAACCACTATGCCTACATGTTTTAATATGACTTTTATGCTTCTCTATAGGTTTCCAAGAATAACTGCCAACTGTTGTAACCATACTGTAAGCTCTAAAAATGTGCATTACACATATTTAATTTACTTGTAGCATTCATGAAAAACAAGAAAACTAGTAGTTATCTTAATTTTTCTGATTTAAAAATATTTAATGTATAACAGTAAATTTCTTTAGAAGCACAAAGATGTTAAGATTAGTTTTGGATGGAAGTTTTCTTAAAGTAATTCATTTGTATCCCTTAAGAGCATATATAAAATGTTCAGATTAATCAATCTGAAAACAAACTAGAGGATCTACATTCACTGAAATTTTTCTTTCCTAAAAACTAGGGAAAAAATATACAATACAAAAAAAGCACAGAGAACCCTTATTTTGAAAAGGGTGCTAAACAGGGAAGCTCCAAGTGCCTTTTTGTGACCTGTTTTCAATTTGGTAATAGGTCTCTAATAATCATTGCCAGGCTAGTTTAGCAGACCACAACTGGTCAAGATTGTGATTTAAGATATAAATGCATTTTTCTTAATGGAATTTCTGTTTGCTTCATTAGTTTCAAAGTTCTGATATGACAAAATTCTTACCAAAACCTTGCCATCAGTTATTTTTTCTCCTCCGCCTTCTCAACGTCCCAACGGGGAAAAAATATCAAGATTTCTAGCCATGGACACTCTAATTCAATGTGGTGGGGTGTCTCAATACAAAATCCATGAGAATCAACTTTGTTTACATAGTTTATTGCTCTCAGAACAATACTACTGCTGAAAACCTATTTCAACTCGTGTAACAGACAACATTAAAAACTGTCTTAGTGTATCGTTATTTTTCTCTGAGATGTTTTCTTAAGCTCATCCTATAAATTTGAAGCATTTATACAATATTCAGATTAATCAATTTGAAATCAAGTTAGATGAATGAATTCACTGAAATTTTTGTTTCCCTGATTAATTGGGAAAAAAAGGTGCACAAGACCCTTGAAGCACATTTGAACAGGGTTAACTAAACAGGGAAGTAATTAATAAAAGACAAATAGGGGAACTGTTAATAACTCATTTATAAAATACTTAAAAATTCTGCAAAGCTGATTTCCTCACAACTACTCTATGAGGTAAAGAATTATCCTAATTTTATAGATGGGGAGACTAAGGCTCTGGGAATTTAAGTGATGTATGTATGTATGTATGTATGTATACACACATATGCATATACATATATACAGAGAGGTGTGTGTATAGATACAAATAGATATCTATCTATAATCACATACAAAGAGGATAAGATCACAAACTTCCTTAAATGTCTGGCTTGGGATATGAATCCTGCTGTGTTGACTCCAAGTTCAACACTAAAGTATAAGGTTTCACATGGGTAATGGATTAACTACAAGTTTTTTTTTAAGCACTGCACTCCCTTAATATATTTTTAATATAACCTGACAACATAAATTTGGTTTATAAACCGTGAGGCTCCTGCTATGGTTAATAATATTGCTGCCACAACTGGTACAAATTATTTCACATATTATATGTTCTACAACTCCAACATCAGTAATGTTGTTTGCTCTAGCATTTTGACATATAAAATGATGCCAAAATAAATTTCTTATTGATTCAGCACATTACTATTTGTCATACAACTATTTTTTTCACTCCACACTGAAAATTACCTGCCATTTCTGAGATATCTTGGGGCAACATATTAAACAGTTCCCTACTTCTATCCTTAAGAATGCTGGTTAACATCTTAAAAGGAAATTCTACCTATCATATGCACATGAGCTTCTTTGGATTTCACATCTGCTGTGTGCTTCTAATAAAAATGACTAAATTATTCTTGTTTGGGGGCACTTGTTTACTATTCCTAAGTTTTCAAGACGGTTTTAAGTCTTAATGATGTGGTATTAAGGCGGTACTCCTTAAGTACCGCCTTAATGAGGCAGTATTAAATTTTAAAGATTATAATTTGAACAGAAAAGCATGTGATAATGTCAAAATATAACACATGGAAGAATCAAATAAAGTACAATATTTCTTCCTTTCCAACCTGGACCTTCAAAAAGGGGGTTTGGGTACAAAAGTAATTGGATATTTCACTTACTTCTCTTTGATAGAAGAAAATAACTTTGAACAGACAAAGCACACTGAAAAATTTAAATGGGCACTTCACTCCTCATGCCACTCATTCTAGGGCCCTCTAAAAAGATTTTTCCACAGATGCTGTGGGAGACACCTAAAATATTGTAAACTAGAGATCAGATAAGTTTTTGAGTCTGTTAGGTACTGGGGTTGGGAAGGGGGAAAAGGAGTGGCCTGATTATTATGTAATGTATCTTTTTTTTTCCCCCTACAAAGCATAAATTCCATCAGAATGACAGGAAGAAAGGCACAAAGCTAACATTAATCTGAGTTTTATTTATTCCACAACATAACAGAACACAGGACGGGTCACACCAGACCATTTGTGCGCCTAAAAATCTCACATTCTGCCTCCTAGCGACAGCCAAAAGGAGAGGAAAGGAAGATGGTTCGAGGGAAGGCGACAAGACCCTAGCCCTGAGAACATGCAGTTACTGAACAATCCATCATCAGGGTGGGGGGAGCCCCCTCCCCATCTTTCGCAGCGACCACAACAATTAAAAGGGAAGGGGAGGGTTGTTGCGGGGATGGGGCCCTGACACTTCGGGGGCAAAGAAGCAACGGCCAGCAGCAACGCAACCGCGGGTTTTTTAGGACAGGCCGCTGCGGGCAGCCGGCTGCTCGGGGGCTCCCCGGCGGGGCTGTTTACTCCCGGGAGGGCTCTCCGAAGTCGGGACGGCAGGAGGAACAGGGCGGGGAGGGAGGGCGAGAGGACGGCTCCCGCACTGCGGGCCAGGGGAGGACGGAGGGAGGCGGCCCAGCCCGCGGCTTCTCCCCTCCCAGGCCTAGGGGTGCTTCGAGGCCCGTCCCTCCCCCCACCCCGCCCCCAGCCTCCCCGTGGGTCTAGTCTCCTCCTCGAGGGAGGGTCCTGGGCCAGGCCCGGGACGGGGGAGGGCTCTCGGGCCTGGGGTGGGCTCTGGCGCCCCGGGGTCTGCATCATGCGGATCCGGGGCTCGGGGAGAGAAGCGCGGGGTACGCCAGAGTCCAGCCCCGCCGTATCCACCCGAGCCGTCCCCGTCTCCCCCCTCCGCCCCCGCCCCGGCCTCCTGCATCCCCCCGCACCCTCCACCCGGGGAGCTCGGAGGAAGGCCCAGAGCGGCCCCCGTGGCCCGCGACGCTGGGTTTGTTTTCACCTCCGGCGCTTCCTGCTCGCTGCGGCTTCTCCGGCTTCTCCTCTGCCGCTTTTCCGTCCGCCATTTTCCCCGCGGCTTCCTCCCCCGCCACCGCGCCAAGGACGTCACGACCACGACCACGGCCCCGCCCCGGCC